ATACTGTAAGAATACGAATGGTCCCGGTTGAGAACTTAAAAATACAGTCCAAACATTCAAATGTTGTAAAGTGTCCATGTTTATGTTGTTTGTGTAGCACAATAGAAGAATTAAATAAAACCCCAACTCCACAAACATTTATATATTATTTTGATTTTTTATAAAAAAAACAGGGTCGAGTCGAACTTAAAACGGGGCCCAGTCATATCAATAAATATTTAATTCGGCAGATCCTTAAAACAACAGGTACCGGTACTACGAGTAGAAAACTAGATTTCATTTCAATGTGCGACGCAAACGGATACTAAAGGCGCTGCTCTGCCAGTCCTCTTATTTACACGGCTGAAATACGATGGGTTTGCCTATTGAGATTTCAATATTTACCAACTTCAAAATTGCATAACTTCGTTAATTTTTCAGTTTTGCAAATAAGAAGTGTGGTAAAATAAAGTACAGCTTGTAACAGTTTGGTATCAGTTTGGTATCAAATATCCACTTTTCAAAAACCCGTTTGAATTGCTATTTCAATAGATAGTAAAAATTTATCTTACTTCATCAGGAGAGTTAAGGACAATAAACCTATTTATTTTATGATCAGTAGTGGAATACCGCGTTTTATCAGTGAAATAAAAGTGTTATTCCACTGGCTAAAGTAGTCCATGTTGTTTTTACCTAAAATGATTGTAAAATCATAAAATAAATAGAACATTTGTCGTTTTGTCGTGAATAACATATTTTATTTCATCTCTAAGCAAGAAAACGTTTATATTTTCACTCATGCTACGCATTCGTGAAAATATAAGTTTTCTTGCTTCTCGATGAAATAAAATATGTTATTCACTCTAAAACGACAAATATCCTCTATGTATCCATGATGCAGCATTTGTTGTTGAAAATGCCGATCTTCCTGTTATTGCTCTCTTCTTTGAGTTTGAAATTTGTTTACCGGTACTAGTAGTAGTACTAGTATGGCTTTAAGCAGAAAACAATCTCCTTACCTCAGCCACTTCGGGCGTTGACCTACTTGCGCCTGCACTGGCATTTATTATTGTGCCTGCTGTGGAAGTGCATCCGCTTCTTGCGGTTTCCAGCTCATTGGCAGCTTTCCTTAACAATGCTGCCAAGTTCTCCATCACCATGTGCAACAACGATTGAAAGCGGAAGTGCGGTTAGGAGTTATCTTTCTATGGGATCGTTTATTTTTCCGGGAAAATACCGTATTTTAATGAAATGAAGAAGTAGTCACGTGATCAAATTTATTTCCGTAATATGCATGGAGAAAATCTCGAGTAGAAAATCTGAAGTTGAAAGTCGAATGTCAAAAGTTGAGTATTGAAAGTAGAATATTTACGACTTAAAGTTGAAAAGGTGGACGTATTAGGTTCAAAAGCACGAGCGGTATATGTTTCTCACACGAAAATATACATTTTGGATATTAATTTTCTCTTTTTCGTTTTCTTTTCTACTTTCTACTGTAGATCGTATTTTGAACCTGATACCCCGTCATCGACCCGTGCACCGTACTGAAAGTTGGTCTCGACACGGCGAATGTACACGCTTCCGTATCTTATCTTGAACTGATTTCTCGCATACACTAATGTGATAGCCATCGCACGTGCAATTCTCTACACATCTATCAACTATTACAGCCGAAAAAAATCTACTGTTGATTCTGAATAGCAGTAATATTTAGCTTATTAGTTATTACAGCAGCTTTAGAAATTAAGTTCGTTTTATTTTTTAAATTGCTTTATCATTAACTGTACCATTAGGAGCGGCATATTTTGGTTTAGTACAAATAATATCTCTGAAATACTTGCGTTGGGCAAGAACATGATACTAGCATTAGTTTAATTTTACTTTTACAAGGTTCTTAAAATTGTTGAGTTTCCCAACGTGCGTGTTTCTAAATTCAATTTATTGTTCCAGCTTTCTGTTATGTTTCGTAAAAAAGGTAATATTGATTGTCCCGGCCTGTTAACCAAACGTAGAATGGTCGGTAGACGGGTTAAGTGCGACTACTTTCAAAACAAGGGCACGTAACCTATTTTTTACTCACATGTTCTCGGATGTTATGGCCGACACTCGGAACCATCTTTCAGTGTATTATTTATGGATGATTAAATGGTCATAACTTATTACGTACAGCATGGCCGTTTATTTAGTGACTATAAATGTTTGAAGCTGATTTAAGGCTTGGTGTATATATAAATATTGTGGTGTAATTGTCGAGATATTTATTTATGGCGGGGAACCCTACTCAAGCATTACGATCACTTGCGAATACCCGAACGTTGCAAACTTGTCACTACATCGATAAGATCGACTGTAGCCATGGACGGCGTGTGAGAGCAGAGTTGGATTCAGGATCATAGAGGCCACTAACCACTTCAGAGAGAGAGAGATGGTTTAACGTCCACTCGACACAAACTATGTCATTTCGGGACTAACACATGGTTCAATTTTATTTCAATAATTCGCTTGCGCGTAGGGGTCTTTAGGAGAAAACCGGAGGACCCGGAGAAAACCCACGAGGTTGGACAGGCGACCCTACTACATGTCACGTACAACCGGGGTATCGAAATCTCGTCAGTTGACGCAATGACAGATCGTATGATATACGTGCTAACCATTCGGCCATCCACCCTCCCCGCACCCCCTACCCCCTAACCACTTCAATGATTGTGGTGCCTCCATATATACGTAATTCAAACATTAAGCAACAATATAACATAGCCAACCGCCAAGTCAACCTTTCTTATGTTTATACACGTCGTGATTAATTGAGACAAAACATGTAACATTAAGAAAAGGCAAAAATAATGAAAAACTAATTAAGCGTTCTTAATTTATTTCACAATTTAATGTTTTAAATTTGCATCTAGCAAAGCACAAAATTTGTTTTTATTTTGCTGCTGGTTTATTCAATTCTGTGTGAGGGATGTTATCAATGTAAGCATGTTTATTGTTTAAAAAATATAATATTTTAGCTTAGAATGTTTCCTGTTACACTGCGTTACATGTTTTTCAGTTGCAATAATTTCTCATTGATTTCCATGTTAATGAATATCTCCTCTCCGGGCGGTTCCGTTCTGGAACCTTTTACTTGAACAAATTGGTTATGTATTGCACATTTAACACGACGCAATTATATGGAATCCAAGTTAACTTAAAAGTTTATTTCTGCCGATGTTTCAACGAGGGTTATCTTGTCTTTATCATATGCCGCTTTAACGATTTATTGCATAGATGTATTCGACCATGGAAATAAAGAAAGGACCTTTATACCCTTTGATTCATTCGCTCTAGAATCGCAACATGTCACGGAAACCTGGCATAAAGGTAAAATCTTATCCAAAACGTCAGCTATAAGAAAAGTCAAATCCCATACCATTTCGACAAATATTTATTAAAACATTATGTGAAACGTAAACCTGATTGTATTTTCGTATGCGGATATCTATGTTATTTGTGAAAGGTCATTATCGACAAGGGTAGCTTTGTTGTATGAACTGTAATATCTTTATAGGACGTCCATACAACACCATGCTAATAATATATTTGTTATTTTATCCTAAAATTCTTAGATTATCTAGATTGAGTTAATGTTTTGGGCGTAATTCGAGGTTAATTAATCTTAATTCCGACCAATCTATGTTATTGTGAAAGGTCATTATCCACTGACGAAATCGACAATGGTAGCCTTTGTTGTATGAACTGTATACATGTAGGACGTCCATACAACATCGTGCTGATATTATGTTTATTATTTTATGCCATAATTTCTTAGATTCTCTAGATCCAGTTACTGTTTGGGACATAATTCGAGGTTAATTTAATCCTAATTTCGACCATTTTGGAAATATCGTTGGAAGGTTTTCTATAACTATACGACTTCAACATGGCAGTCGTGAATGACAGTTTCGCGCCACAGCCATACCTAGAAGTAAAACGGTACCTCTGTCAGTTTATCGCACATGGGGATATCCTTATTCCCTGCTCTTTACCCCACCCCTACTCGTCTCAAGAAAATAAATGACAGGGGATTTAACGAACTACTGTTATACACGTCATCCCAGAATCGTAAATATTGACCAACACCTGTCCGAAAATAGACTATAATATTCCTTGGCAGTTGAAATTCGAAGATGATTAACTACCTGTCCTGCCTTTGGCATCCCGTCGGTCATCTTTAACGAAATATTCCATATATACCCTTCAAAAAAGTAGGGGATATTGTTCACAGATGAAGAACTTATCGCCCCAACAGAACCACTGAGCTGCACATGCGACACGCAATAGCGCCATACACGTGGGAGGGGTTCATGGTCAAATATGACACTTCAAAGAAGGGTTGATGAAAACTGCCGCTTGCTGGTTTATCTATCCATATTTGCTTTCCTATCGGTTCTTACATACGATTTACTGTTTAGCGTATCTATGCTTTAGTGTGTTACGTCTTCGTCGACGGCAATGTCAACCGACAACACTGCAAGAATTGGCCGTGCCACTGCAAAAGGAGTGGGCCAGATTGCCCCAAATCGTGATTGGGCGGTTGATTAGGAGCATGCCACGACGAATTGCTGAATGTCTGAGGATTGGTGGAGCAATAACTCATTATTAAGACAAAAATCAAAAACGTCCATTTTCACTTTTGACGGTGTATCTCTTTGCGAGCAAAATGGGGCCGTCAGATAAGCCGCCCATATCAACTGTTTATGTTCATGTGTAGGCAGTTGGCCTGTTATTAATATACACTGGTTACCTCTAATAAAAACAGCAGTGCATTTCCGCAGTTTTGTATTGTTTCTGAGTATCCCCTACTTTTTTTGAAGAGTATATATAATTACAATAATCTATTGCTGGTCAAATTCGTGATAGTCCAAGCAAAACCATAAAAAGCACAGTAGCCATTTTTATATAATATAAATCTACAAAGTAAATAAAACTTATACTAATCTATGTGTTGAAAATTAACATTTACTTTTTTATTATTTCAGAAAAATGAAGATAGCCGTCAAGTGTATACAAGATATTGAAAATAAATGTAATGACGCCATGATGGAAACGCCTGTATTAAACTCAATATCCGTACACCTGCCTGCTATTGTAGAAGCTATAAATACTGAGTGTACGTATATATTTCTGTATTTCTCGGTATGATTATGTATTCATCCGTATAACTCCGTATTTTTTACCTTCTATAGTAGAAGCTATAGATACTGAATGTACTAGTCCGGTCGCTAAACCCAATATTTCGAGTGAACCTGGAAATTGTGTACAAAGTTATTTTTATGGTTGATTTTAGTAGCCTAGGGTGTCTTCTTTCAGAATCTGCCGGGTGAACCTCGGTCACCCTAGAGCGTTTTGAGAAATTCAACATGGCGTCCAAGACTGCCGACATTTCACATAAATACCCTATAACCCCCCCACACCCCATAGTATTTAGTCGAGGATGATAATTTTGGTGTCTAAACTTATGTTTCTGGGGTCAAAGAATACACCGAAATCGTTCATTATGTTGCGGAATGATTAAATAATAGTAAAATCCAAAATACCAGACAATATGGCCTTATAACCAAGGGTGAAATTGAGGTGAAATTGAGCTTATGAAGAATACGTTAATGAAATATTGAGTTTTTATTGGGTTTATGAATTAATTTCAGAACTAACACAGTTAGTTATACGGGACAACAATCAGTGGTTGTTGTCCCATATAACTGTGTTAGTTCTGTAATGTTTTTAATCGCTTAATGCCAATTTTGCGAACGGGCATAGGTCCCTAGGATTTGTTGTAGACTTGTTCATTGTGTTTTTGTACCAGGTGGTGAGTATGATACGTGTGAGTTAGCTGAAGATCTGGCTGATGAATGTATAGATATGGGAATTGAAGCTCTCGGTGATAACCAGGCTTCGCCAAAAGAAATGTGCAAGTAAGTAATGAATAAATGAATGAATGAAATGTGTATACGGGATCTTACGGCAAGTAGATAAATATTATGGCCCAGGGAGTAGGGCCCTGGATCAATAAGCGGGAGGTCCGGGGAAGGTTCCACAGCATATTAACCAGGAGTTTCAAGATTCAGGAATTTTCAACGTAGTTTCAAAATGCTGGTGGACGGTCGAATCGCTAATACCTTTCGTAAGAATTTAAAGAAAGTTACAAAATCGTATTGAGTTTATGAATTATCGAAAATCAATAATTATTTTTACTGACGTTCTCGCAGTTATGTCCCTTTTCACATTTAACTGCAAGTTAAAGATACATTATGTAAGAATTAAATCTGATTATTGCAGGTCAATTTTCTGGCTTCAAATTTGTTATAAACTATTATTTAGACATTTATTAAACGACACGCCCATAATCAACTCTAGTCATCTGATGGCTGAGATTGAAACCTTCTCAGGTGACTGGCATAATATATTTGGAGGCAATGGTTCCTTTTCTAGATGATATATCTGTATTCCTGCAAATTTAGGTTTAGGCACCACGATTGCGACCCTACGTGGTAACGAAACAGAGATATAGGTTTTTGCATAACGGAAATCACGACCAGGGTCACTTCCATCTCAAATCTACTCCAAAGCTGCCCGTGCAGTTTGTGGGTTTGGTATTTTATATGATATTTGTTTTATGTAATACATGTTTTTCATTAAATGAATATTTGTAGGAGTGTAGACGAGCAGCTATCTTGTGTAGAGAATGTTATATATCTGTGCCCAACTGTCAGCAGTGAACAGAAAGTAAAAACGGCCGTTAGACGACAAAGATTTATGAACATATGTATGTATTCATATAATATAAGGTCATATAAGGAGTTTATTGGGTTTTTTTTATTTTGTTTAAATTAAAGCGAAGAATTGGTATGATTTTGTCAGGTTTTTGCGATAATGAAGTCGTGGTGACCGAGTGACTCCCCTGTTCGAGCCCGGCTTAGTTCCCTCTTGTCAGTGATGCAGGATGGAGGGTCTGGCAAGGTATATAATACAGCGTATAGTCTTTCGGATTGTCCCGGCAAATTATCCCTCATAGCAGAAGACATGGGGTATGTCCGGCTACATTAGTCCAGTCTGACGTTAAACCCTATTTTAAAACATTTCATTTCGTTATTGCGATTAGGTTTAGCAGAAATTGGGTTGTATGTTAATTTCAGTTGGCTCTCATCGTAAAATTGAGTTGTTGCAAAACTGATGACGTTACAAATAATACGCGTATATATATAATAGGTGCTTCTTATTGTGGCATGTCGGGTCAGCAGTTGACTGGATGTATAGTGTGATTTTATATAGCGGACTTTTCGGTTGGCGTCAGCAGTGATCTGAAGAAGAGAATAAAACAAGAGTTTTTAATTTCTGTAATCTTTAATAAAATGGCGCCAAGAGGAATTCCCTAATATCATAAATAAAATACATGAATCATACTGAAACAAAATTCCTAAACATATTAATCTTCGTTTTAACACCATTTGACTTACAATTTATTAAACAATTATAAATTAACAAAAGCCACGTGATTTTTATGTGTTTGGGCTCAACATTCTGACTGCGAACGCTTACACATTGACAAAAATATCTAAATTTTCTCTGGAAATACACATTTGTTAATACTAACAGCACTGAGGCTGGTTCTAAGGTACATGATGAATATTTTGATACATAAATTAACATATCAACTGCAGAAGAGAATAAAATACGAGTTTTTTTATATTCTGTAACCTTTAACAAAACGGCGCCAAGAAGAATTTAGATAACTCTCCTGTTACGCCAAGCAAAGTTACCGATTAATTAATTAGAGTTCCCTCCTTTTAACCGCTAATGAGATCAATAACCTTGACACCTGCTGTCCCATAGTGAAAATGAAAATAAAATGAAATGTAGTTTTATGGCCCGTCAGCTCCAACCGGGCTATATTGCGCCAAACATATGTCCCATGAGTCGAAGTGTCGAAAAATTATTATTATGTCATGGTAAATATGTAAAATTTGTGGGTCTCTTAATCCGAACTCTCACACTTGTGAATTGTGGAGATTTGATTTTTGATGAAAGAAAAATCAACATGTGGAGTCAGCAGCAGATGTATGGTATGATTCTGTATAGCGGGCTCTCTGTTTTCTTGTAAATTGTTGAGATTTGCTTTTTAATAATAAAAGTAAATCAACAAGACATTTTGAGACTAACATATGGTAATTTATATTTCGATTGAATTATGCCGGGACAGTGTCGTTTACGCTCATTGTATTCAACTTCGAACTTCCAAATGTTCTGGTACATATTTGTACACAGACGGAAGTCGGACACACTGTCCTTGTAGCTGCACCTTTAAAAGTTGTTCTCCACCCATGCCGAGATTCGAACAACTCCACGATATAATTTTCCTTGGTTGTCATATTGATATGTGTCTTTCAGGTGGACGATATTTTTCTAAAAATGTTCGAAAGTAAAAAGTGGAACGGATACAGAAACGTGACAAGTTGATGTTATGATGTGTTTAACGTCACTAATTTGGTATAATATTAATTAGTGACAACTAATATTTGACGTTTGTTTAAAGGTCTAAATAAATTATAAATATTGTACTTTTATCATTTCTTAATTAATTAAACACCCAGGGTTGGTTCTTAATGAACAAGAGCTGGTACTTGTTGCAATACAAGTGTGGTTTAATGGTAGAGAGCGAGGTATTACGCAATATACTGATACTGGACGAGGGAGTTAGTTGTTTCAATATGGTGACTGATTGGTATCATGTCGTGATGTCGACCTTCATAAGGCGACAACCCAATAACCCGACGCCACGACATTAAAAATGTCGGGATATTATTTCATGGTAATGACCAACCTTTTCAAATCGTGATTTGCTATCTGACGAAATCTGCTCCAAGATTCGATTGAATCTCAGGTGTCCAAGCATGCGCGACACAGCTCAATTTTTGATCAGCCGTTCGTTCCTGGAGTTTTATGTCCACTTCCAACCAGGGTGATATCACAGACAAGGATTGGATCGGTTATTCCCGTGTGTTTAATGTTTAAAGCCCAAGTTGGTTTAAATATATGCATTTAAATTTATTTCATTTTTTTGTAGATATATTAGACCAATGCATTTATATGTTCTATAAACCCACAGACAAATAGGTCTATTTATATTGGTATTTACTTTATAAATTTAAATTTGATTCAAGAAAAGTTTCATGGAACAATTAGAGCATTAAGTAAATGATGACAGACTATTTTAATCAATCTGTATGATTAAACATGCAATAGCTGATCAAGTTATGAACAGATTTAAGACGTGCATTGACATTTTGAAGTTGTGTTTGGATAAGTGAATACAGACTAGAAGATACATAATTAAGAACAAATTCAAAATCGGGATCACGTTCCTTCTTATATGATAGCATTTACACAAGAATAAATATGCTGATTATTTTAATATGCATTCACTATAACTTTATGCAGGGACTGAAAGCGATCGATAACATTAACTAAAACACGTTAACTAAAACCAACGCCTTCTGAATCAATATGCCTGTATGTTAGATCTTATTTCGTAACCGTATGTCGTCTATTGCAACACCCTTAAATCATATACATTTATATGTACAGTATAACATCTGTCTAGGCAGATATTTTTTTTTTATAAAAGAGTCAATATTATCATGTCAGCTATTATAAGACAGAAATACAGGTTTTCTCAAAGATAAATAAGTTCAAATGTAAGGTAATCAGCGCAATGTACTTTTTAAACTCGGAAAAGACTTCTAAAACATGGATCGGGGTTGAATTAAGATTTAAATCAGAATTAAATTTCGTCAGGTTAGCAAAGACCGAATAATTTTCAATTTTAATGAGATTCAAATCGGTGTGATTTACCTTCAACAAAGTTTCGAATATTCGGGTTTTCCAAAAAAAATCATGTAATTTTTTATAAATAATTTTCATGTCAAGAACATTTATGCCGCTTTCTAATATGCGCCACGGTGGGGCACTAATTAATATATCTATCAAGCCCAAAGCCCGCCACTCAATATGAAATAACGGAATTTTAATATCTTATAAAATATGCTTTGTGTCAATCTGTTTTCTGTTTCAAAATCAGTAAGAAAATTTTTTATATGCGACATTGTGGAAAATAATATTAAACCAGCTACCATGAAATGGCGTTAGCTGTACTTGAGATATAACTTAAAACCGACTGTTCGTCCCCACTCAATCGAACACACCCAGGTTCATTTGGCAAAAAAGAAGAAGCGCTTTTGAACATTTTGACCGAATACAGTTCCTCAAAGTGAGACGCACTTTCATCGGCCAAACCAATCAATACATGAAGACCGTAAAAGAAATGATTTATATTGAAGTCAATATTTCCCTCTGAATCTGTTAAATCTGACCAGTTGTCTACTAATTTAGAACAAATATTGCCCCTGTACTATGTAAATAGAGTGTTAAAAAGCTTTTCGGTGCTGTCTCTGTCGGACATAATATTTCTAATTTCGAAAATTACGGATTTACTAAATGACCCAGGTGTATAATCAAGATCTGTCAAAATTTCATTTAAAGTTGTAAGATATAGTTTGCGCAAATAATAAGTGGGGTATAATTATAAGTCGAGTCAGCGGTTATTGCATAAGTAGCGAATTTGGAGCCAAATTTAGTATTTTCGTTTGTATATAAAATGGTGCTTTTCGCTGACTTTACGGTTTTCGAGATATGTTTTAAAGTTTAAAGATACTCCGACGCGCTTACATGATATTCTTTGAACTGCAGTATTTGTTGGAGTGTAAATAGGTTTGAGTCCCGCGACAGCCAAACATGCGGTAAAAACCGCGTTGACGTTCCTATCGGAAACGTTAAAGTTTCTTTTTTAGTTATATGACCAAATTATGGCATTCGGAAGTGTATCTTTGATTTTCGACATACAAAATTACTTCTTCCTCACGAGGTTGGGACTTACAACCAGTATTTTATTTGCCAAAACTTTATTATTATTAGGTATCGAACGAATCAATGCTTTTGAGGTCTTCCTTTTTAGTCGATTTTTCCTATTTACTTTGGTCAAATCGCATTGACAGATTCCTGTGTCTCTCTATTAATTAAATGTATAGTGCTGGTACCCGCCGATGATGTTTTGTCCACTATCCCGTGGAAAAGGGTGCTGTCGAGATAATAGTCATATAATGTTCTAGATTTATTAAAAATATTTATATTTTTAACCAGCTTTCTAGTCTTTGTCTTCAGTCTGACCAGTGGTCATTCATGATTTCTATAGTGGTACTGAACAACTCCAAAGCTGTTTTAGGTGGTACAGATTTCAACTAATCTAGCCTAGCTGTGAACTGGAAATTAGATAACTCTTGTCAGGGATACTCTACCACTACAAATGTCTGACAATTACAATTACCAACCACTACAAATGTCTGTTAGAGTGATTTTGTAACACCTGAAGATGTACGGTACACCACTGCTGTACGATTTTCATGTGGTACACTTTTGGGCTAATCTAGCCTAGTTGGGGGCATGGCATTTTGGGCGTGGAATACCACACCCACCAGCAGAAACCCGACAGACTTACATTCTGATGATACCAGATATACATGCATTGATACCATATAGAAGAAAATTGTTACACTTTTCAGCAAGGTTAACCCCCTGGGCTCCCGTTCTATAACCTGCCCCGCTGCGGTTTCGCTAAGCTATGTGTGAACAGCACGAAGGCGAGAAGGCAAGAAATAATCAATGCGAAGCTGTTACGAAGCATTTGGCAGTTGCAATAATTATATGAATATGTGATTTTGTTATTATTACATCCGTTCCCGTAAGCGGCAATTGCTATGATTAGAGACATTTTTCACGAAGATCGTCAACAAGGTACCGGTGCTGATCTAGGTTCCGTTGATCTATACCTGTTTAAAGCTGACTGGTTTGAATTGTCCACAACTCACCACTTGTTCTTGTTATAGTATTTATCATGTATAGATATGGATTTTGTCGTAACTCTGTGCTTCTATACATATTTTCTATCTTCAAATTTCAAGAGTAGATTAACCTCCCTCCATTGAATTCTTTAGTCATTATTTATGTTCTTTACTTGTTGGTTGACTATCGAACCCGTACATTAGGCAATAAAGGTCTACAATAGAATGATCACAGTAAATGTCGATACAGGGATCGTTCTAAATGTCAGAATTAATATCACAGTTGTTTTTATTAATATTAAAGTAGATGTAATAAAGACAATTTGCTGATACAAGAAATAAAATTGTAATATTTGATAAAGTTCAACGATAAATTTGTCCTATTAACCGTGTTGACAAAACAAGAAATACATAATGAGGTAAGACGCTGGCTCGCTCTGGAGGTCTCATTTTCTTCGTACTGGGTTTTAGCTTGGAACATTCCTCTGAATTCTCCGGTGTGGTTTCTCGTGGTCAGCGGTGGATGGCGGAGGGTCTGACAAGGACAACCGTCTAGTCGTTCGGATGGAACGAAAATGCAAGGTGAAGTGTACATTATAGTCTGCACGTAAAAGAACCCTTGACAAATTTCAATATAAGAGTAATCAATGGTGTATGTCCTTCTCCATAAAATTCAATATCTTCCTAAAAATACATAAGTCTACGAAAAGAGTAATATTGTGATTTCAATGCCCACTCGACATAAACTAGATCATTTCAAGACTAACATGGTACAGTTTTTTTTTTTTTTTTTTGATTATTCGTTTGCACGTATAGGTCTTTGGCAGTGGGAGAAAACCGGGGGTTCCAGAGAAAACCCAGGAGGTTGGGATATGTGTTTAGATGTAATATGGACTATAACAATATGTGTTGACATATGTTCTAGGCACGATCAATATATATCTTTATATAAACTAAATACTTGACACTATTAGTCATGATATAACCTATCCAGATGTTGGTGGAGGCTTTACTTGATATTATTGTTTACGCATATCGCTACCCTCCGAGTTACAAAATGGTGTACTGATTTTTGAACATGACAGTCATTAGGGGCTGAGATCTATTCTCAAGGTAGACAGTTCTCTGCGTGCAGAATGGTATACAAGTTAAAGTAGCTATTAAACATACATTATGCACGAGCTAAGTCTGCCTATTAAAGGTATTTCTTTAGGCCTGAAATGTTATCTAAATTATAAATTAGACATTAATTAACTTATCCAGACCATAATCAACGCTTGATGTCATCGCTAGCCTATGATATTTACTGGGCTGAGATCTATTCTCAAGGTAGACAGTTCTCTGCGTGCAGAATGGTATACAAGTTAAAGTAGCTATTAAACATACATTATGCACGAGCTAAGTCTACCTATTAAAGGTATTTCTTTAGGCCTGAAATGTTATCTAAATTATTAATTAGACATTAATTAACTTATCCAGACCATAATCAACGCTTGATGTCATCGCTAGCCTATGATATTTACTGGATTATGATTCCATTTGTGGCTCAACTTTCATTTATGATTTAATCATGAAATGGATAATCGAGACTATGTTTTTTATCGTATCGACTTTAGTAATGATGATCGAGGCTAGGCCGAAATTTCAATCGCTTAATTATCGGT